CCTTGGCCGTACAGCAGAGAGTCATTTTCTAACGAGATGGATGGTAACAAATTTGATTTTATTTAATTTTGTATCCCTTGGAGGTGACTACACATATTGCATCTATATTAATTAATAAGTCATGAACCATAAGAACAGGGGCAAAACAATTCTACTGAGCCATATGGAAATGATGGGCCAGCCATCTTTTTGGACTCCCCCCTCCACATCATGCTCCCAAAATTCAGTAGTCAACCCCCAAATGACAGCAGTGTGATTTCTCCCCATGTTAATTGGCTAAAGCCAATAGGCTTACATGCTTTTTTTTTTAAAAAAAGCCAAAATGGGGAGGAAAAAAAACAGTGAAAGAAGCTGAAAGCAGTGCTCATTCCCACCTTCAGTGATGTCAATGCATTCCTCTCTATTGCACTTGACATCTGCAGAGGTTACAACTCCACTCTTTCTCACTATGTGGGCTGGTCTGAAACTCAAGTTATTTGCTTTTTACTTACTGACTCCTCTCCTGAAACTTCCAGGAAGTAGCAAAGTTCTGCTCAGTTGCAATTGCCATTAGAAGCTCTGGGTTTCAGGGTTAGGGTTTAAGGGTGCTGAACTTCCATATGCATGTATCTTTCACCTGTTTTTTTTATTCTGCTCTATTTGATTTTAGTTTTACGGAGAGCTGGTAGAATGTTATCACGCATGTCCTTATTTAACCTGCTTCTTTTTGTGGACTTCGTTTGGCCTCTGTCCAAAAATTGAATTTAACTAAGCAATATGCTTAGCAATGCTTAGTTACCGCTGTACCCTCTTGCAAGAAAGAGAAGATCATCCAAACCTGGCCGTAGAAGTTCTGTAAATAAGCTGCTCCAGCTGTAACAGTTGAAGTCAACTCTACGATGTTCTACTTCCAGAATACATATGTAGAGGCCTCTTCCATTGGAGCCCCTCTCCTCTGGAACTGCGCTCCCCCCAAGGGCAGAGCACACCATCCCTGCTGGCATTTAGAAGAGCTGCCATGCCCTGATTATTTCAGAAAGACTTATGGGATTGAGAGCATGGGGGTCACATCCTGCAGGAGGTGTTTGTTACCAAGAATGGTATTCTTCAGCGTGATGAATGGGATGATGATGAAGAAGAAGACTTGCTGTATATTATGTTACTACTATTTATTGTTTCAATCGTCCTTGTTTGCATTTCAAGATATCTAATATAGCAGCTCTAGAATTGAAAAAGCAGCTAATCAGGACTGGAGCTTTTATTGTAAAGGGAAGGGCTTGGTTAATTAATTAATTAATTAATTTGTTCGCTTGTTTGTTTATATTTCAAATTTAGATACCGCCCATCTCACAAAAAGTGACTCTGGGCTTTCCCCTCTCTGCAAGAACCCCTGTGAAAAACAGATCCACTCCCAGAATGTGTTATTTGCACTTTTCTCTAAGGCAGAGGTGCTTCTGGAGAGAACGACAGCTTTAGAGTTTGCTATGGAATCCAGAATGGCCCTTGCATTATCTACCTCTTGGCAGCAGTTGAAGACCTGAGTTTCCATCCTCACGTTCAGGACTTCAGGATCGAAAGCCTAATCATACTGTTTGTTCCTTAAATATTTCTCTATCACTGCGACAAGGGTTGTTAAAAATATCTCAGAAACAATCAACAGACTATTACAACCACACAGCATCCCTGCAGCACACAAACCAACGAAAGCCCTCCAAAGCATCTTAAGTAAACCAAAAGACCCAGTAGCCCAAGAAGAATAAACAGGAGTTATCTACAACATGACGTGATGACGCTCCCTGAGTGACTGCCAGTTATCTTTGGATCTATTTATTTTCTATTTATTATCGTAAGTTTGTAGTTTTAACTGATTTTAACTGTTTTGTAAACCACTCAGAGTTGTTCAGCAAGATGAGTGGTGATAAATTTGATATATATATATAAACAAACAAACATACAGTGTAAGGACTGTAACAGCCACTATGTAGGACAGAAGGCAGAAGACTAGCAGAGCGCATCCATTAACACCAGTTAGCAGTCAGAAGACACAATGAAAACTCCTTAATCTCACAACATGGACAGACTTAGCCATAGTTTCAACCAGGAAACTGAGCATCCTAGATCAAGCTAAATCCAAAAATGCGAGAGAATTCCTGGAAGGTTGGCATTCAGACAAATCAGCCATCAATAAAAACATAGAGATAAAGCACATTTATACATCATTCAAAAGAGACAAAAAGAAAGCTAAGAAGGGAACAGAAAGACCAGAACACATCCTCTCCAGCAGCCTACACCCACATAAGCAAGGATTAACATTCTGCCAAATCAGGCAGAAAACAATACCCTAATCGAGGTACTGCCCAGGACAAAACTACACCCCCACCAATGCTGGCAGGGCAAGCTACTGTATATAAACAGGGAGCAATCCCCACACTCACTCGCACTGATGATGTTACTTAGTTGGGTAATGAAACATTTACAAGCAAATAACCAAGCTCAGAGAGCACCAAAGACTCCACTCTAGCTATCTTCAGGGACAGAGCTCTTATTTTCACAAAAATAAATCCCACAACAGATACATTAAATACAATCGAGCATTTAATGCAAGGGATATGTGGCCAGCTTATGATTAAAGTGTACTGTTTGGGATGCCAAGGGATATTTATATGGATTTTATTTCAACTTTTCAAGGAAGTCCAAATAAACAGGACTTTATGAGATCAAGCAGCGACAGGCAAGACGACGTGGGACTTTCCAGCTAAGAACTCCACACAAGAGGTCATTTTCATTTTGAAAAGTTCAGCAAGATGTATAGCTGTGCAGGATTGGAAAACTACAGAAGGAGACATGGCTATGGCTATTTGTTAAAGCAATTAGGGTGGGGCATAATTAAATCAGTCCTTAAATGATATAATTCTAGTCAAGAAGACCGAGGCACCATCAAGATAAAAATGACCAGCTTAATGACATTACCCCAAGATTGCTAGGCAGATATAATGTCTGGACCATAAAGGCCAGAAAGGAAAATTCATTTATTTTATATATAGACATAATGTATTGATTATTAAAACTAATATTTCTTAATATTTTCCCAAAAAATCCACCCCAAAGAAGGCTCTGCATCAATTCACATGGCTACTAGATTGTGCCTTTGGGAAAACAGCAAACCATTTCTTTATTGTCTGTGCTCCTGCCCTCTGAAGATGCCGGTCACAGATGCTGGCGAAACGTTAGGAAAC